ATCGTTTACACAAATATGCTGTTCTTCATGGAGGAAAGTTAGGTTCCACAAAGAATTATTTCTCATTTCCGCTATACGATTGACAATGCAAGCCAACTTGTTTAACGGGATCGGTACGTTTTTATCTGGCGTTAATGTTGGATTTCCAAAGTACTCTTATCGTCTGAAGCTTTTAAAGAACCAATAGAAGCGGAAAAGCAGCTTATCTATGCCGAAATGAAGAAGTTGCTCTCAGTGTTGAAGTAAATTGCAGTTGTGCTGGTCCTAGTACGTCGGCCATGGAATTGGTTTCAGCTGTGATAGATCGAGTTATTAAAACCTAGTCGCCGAGAGATTGGTCAAATTGAAGATCCAAAGGTTCATCCAGCGCGACGCTCGTCGAATACGTTGACGTAAACATACACGTTTATTAGCATCATTGGCCGCCTCAGCAAGGGTTCTCATTCCAGCAACTGAAATAAGCGTCGTAGAGCTGAAATGCCGATTTGAAAATGATGGGAATCATTGCATAACCTTGTTCCTGCACGACTCTCAATAGGGAATCATCGTCTCTTTGGAAGATTAGCACGTTCGAGCGAGAACTGGTTGACGACGCAGGCGGCTTTGAGACCCGTAAGTCGCTGCCGTATAAGGGCAAAGCGTTGGTGAATTAATTTCATGGGAACCAGCACCTGTGTATTGCTACCATAAGTGTGTTACTTATATACATATTGTCAAAAAGAAACATCTATGAAAATTCGACTAAAAACGTTGAATGGAATAATACTCTAACAACATTTAAATCTGAAAAAATCTATTCATTAAGAGGATTTCCCCAGCCGCACATAGCACAGCATTGCCAGGCCTATTGTTGCTACTAGTGAAATCTTATAATTGTCCTTCCCACGCACTCTACCGCGGGTCGACGTAAGCGTTCGATCTCTACACGAGTTTCTGCTCCGCGACTATAGTTGGACATTTCGAAAAACGAAAAATTATCTCAATCCACCATTACCGCCTGCTACGATTAAAATTTAAGTAATAAGCGCCCACTTACAACTACGAGGCTGGAAGTCCTTGAGTCCGAATCTTTTTCTTCCACAGCTCATACGCAAGCCGCTTTTGAAGTAAACCTTGATCCAGGCATATTGATACCTAGCCTAAATAAGTAGTTTCATCAAATTCGAACTTTCGTACAGTGTAACATTAGCAAATTACATATATTAAAATCTAGTTTTGCTTCCTCTTGATCATCGATACGTTCATTCCACGTAATAGACGTATCGTGCAATACACACATTTCAGGTCGTATTCGTTCGAACAGAAACAGTTCTAAATAGAATGCTAACAATTGAAAGCGGACCACACATAAGCTTCTCGTATTCATCTTGAGACGCCAATTTACGTAGTAATAAGGTGTCTACTCTATAATTTGGGCATAAAAATTCCAAAAAGCTGTTCATATATATATGTAATGTATATTTGTAGAGACTGATTCAGTTCCGCTGTACGATGAAGTTCGTAATAACAAAAAATTGGGTCGACTTACGTTAACAGACGTAAAATACAAGCGCGGTTCGTGTATCAGGCACTGATAAAACATGTCCTTTGTGTTACGGAATATCTTCAGCAATTGTGATTTGCGATTTTTAGGAATATATATAGCAAATCCAAGGATAGTAAATTTACGCAGTATATGTTATATATAGGTTATTATCTTACGAAATACACTTATCTTACGTAACTTCAGACATTGTTCAGGGCTTTCTGCATTTTTTTTCTACCAAGTTAAGTGTGCTGCCTCGTCAGAAGGTAGCGGATTTTAGCTGAAATGCATAGAAAGTGTTAACAATGCACCTTTTTTTTACATTAAGGCTAAATAACAAGTAAGAAGAAACGAGAAGGGAAACTTCTGAATTTTTCTATCCAACCTAATAGTTGCTTGTGAGATCTAATAAAAACTGCACGAAATATCCCATGGTTCCGGCCTAAATTACCTCAGTTTACCACGAACGTTGCTTGTCTTCGCACGCTAGAAGCAGGCTCAATTCACCCCCTTTTTAACCCTAAGTTTCTCGTAACGAACACCACAAGCTTTCATATTTGGTGCCCTTAACTACATACACCTATAAATGGTGCTATTAAGGCAATTGGCTCTTTCGTTGCAGTTCTGACGATTTCGTTGCAAAAAGAGAGAGAGAGACAAATTAGGTGCATTTGTCAGGACAAGTCTGCATCATTACCAAATGCGGTGGAATTACTTCCAGATGCCTAAATAAAGCAAGTTTGAGGGAATAAAACAGGGCCTCGTTCAATTTTCCCGCCGACAGTCAGATCCAATCGCGTGGAATAACAGGCTCGTAAGGCATTTTAGCGCTACTTGGGTTCAAGATGTTGTACGATTAACTTAATGATAAGTAAACTTTTTCTTTGATCACGATCATTTGGCGATCGTTTGAAACAATACAGGCGGTATTAGCAAAAAAACCTTGGGCTCTATACAAAAATCGTTAGTAACACCGACCCCATTTTAAGGGCAAGCGGATTTGCCAGCCATAACTTGCTCAGGGTTTCATCAAACGAAAAAATCGTGGCGGCTATATTTAAGGATTCGAGATAATTATTTCCTCCTGCGTATATAACTACATATAACAAATAATGGCAGATATTATATAATCAATGGGCTAACTAAAAGATGGCCTTATTGAGGCACGAAAAAAAGCATTTCATTAAACAAATCCATAGCGAATAAACAGATGGTACATTATTTTTTTCTCACATCTTACCTGTTTAGGACGCTTGAAATCAATAAGCGAATCACTACAAGTCGATCTTCCTAACACCACCAATTTGAATAACTATAATAATAGCAATAATCATAATTTTAATAATTGTAAAAAAAAAAAAGCTGTGACAAGTACCTCTTCTGTAGCGGAACTTTTGTTTATGTAACTTTGAATTCATACTCGAAAGTTAAAGGTACGTGAATGTGTTGAGTATAACGCCTTTTTTCCCTTGGCACCTTTTAGCGATTTTTTCATGACAAAGAAACGATCGGTAGAAACCCGGCCGATAATGAAACTGGCCGATGAAACGACTGATAATGAAGTGCCAGAATGAGTGGGAATTAATACGACTCGTGCCCAAAAAGTATCAATCAGCTCCCAGGTAAAATGTTTTTAGTGTTATTCAAGGTTAGTAGTAACCTCGCAAGGACGAAATTATCATTGTACTTCCCAGTTTACATGGTAAATCATTCGTGTACCAGGATGCGCACATATTTTTTCAGGTTGATGGGTGACATCTGCATGCACGTCAGTTGCGTATTTCATCTGAATCCTTGGACCCCCGAAATGCCCGTATCGGAAAATCTCCAGACGCTTCCTGACACATCCAGCTAAATATAATAGTGTTTTAAACTATTATAACGTGCAATCACTTGTATGGACGAGCTGAGATAAAAGTTCCAAGACAGTTTGTAAACGATCCTCTAGACAATCGGAGAGTCTTCATCTTGCACCTGTTAACAGAAAATCAAAAAAAAAAGTAATCGAAAATAGGCCAAATTGCAATAAGAAGCGGGTTTATATTTATAAGCCATGTAACAGAGGCGCCCTTATGCCATTTTTGTATCCCTATAATGTTAGGCTATAGGCATACTACACGATTTCGGACATTAATAGACAGAAACACTTAACAAAAGCCGCAGTTGTCTTGGTTATAGCTATTGCACCCTAAGAAAAAATATTATAATTATTATAGCATAGTACTATGAAGTATATAAATGGTACATGACTGCCCGGACATATATGTGAGTCGGACACGTTAAAAGGTTTATTTATTATTATTATAAAGAGCCTTTTACGTCACTACATATATAAATGGCATAAGCATTGAGGTAAGTAAAACGCAAAAAAAGCAAGTAAATTGCAGAATAGAAGAGCGCCTCTAGCCAGCCCTTTGAGAGGTAGGCTTTCAACTATGTATGTCTTTATTCTAACAACGCTGAAAAGTTCAGCTAAAGAGAATCGTTTAATTTATCTTTAATCTATACTTTTTTTTACCAGAAAGGGAGCAGTCGACAACAATAATGCGATTTTCTCTAAACAGGCTAATCTTCTGATATAATAGTCATTTGCGGTTCCAGAAGGCTCTAACCTAAAAAGTGAACTCAGGCATGAGCTCTAAATTGTCACAGGGTCGGAAGTATTAAGGTTGCATAGTGGTATCCGTAAGTTAGCACATTTCTCTAATAACTCTCATAAAAAATATACATGTACCACTAATCTCATCGTCCGCCTAAGCCTTCACAAACACATAATTCGACTGGGCTAAACAGAAAAGCTCAACTGACGTCTGTATTCTCTATAGCAAATGGTGTGAATGTGTACGGGTTTGGAGACATTATTGGCTTGTATAAACAGTTTCTAATTGTATTGGCGGCCTTTAATTATTTACTATTAGTAATAATAGACTTAGTAATAAGTCTGAGCGGTCTCAACTAGATAAAAATTTGATTTGGCCTTGTACTGTCAATTTATTTTCTCAGTTATTATCTTTGGTCATAGCCAATGAGAGTGCCCTTTGTCCTCAAGAGAGTTTAGGGCATTAGAGAAAAAAAAAATCATAGAACTGGTCGTCCCAACGCAACGTATAGATGGAACGCTATGTAGCTAAAGCAATCTTTTTGCAGTTTGCTATTAAGAAGCTGTATGACTTTGCTGGTGGTCAACGTCGCTTCGTAATACGTAAATGAAGTGAAACGTGAATTTCTACAGAAGGACAAATGAATCAATGGATAGATATCTAACAGTGAAAAATCATGTTTTTTTGTATGACCGCTTTTGTACTGTACAGAGTTAGAAACGCGAGGCTATTGTGAACAAGCTAAAGCGTCTGTTTTTTTTTTTTTTTTCGAGGCATCTTTTTGATGTCCTTTTGCTTCTTCAGTAGTACCGACTTCATACCGCTACCACACATAGCTTTACGAGGTTAACTGTGTATAAAACTATGGCCTGTTCTTCTACTATTAGTCATTATTCAGCCACGACACGTATAACATCGTTAATAAGCTCTTGTTCTGAAAGGGATCAGGATTTTCGTTTTCGAAGAACGGCTTACTTGTGTTGTGTTAGCAGATTTGGAATTTGTCCCAGAATAGGATAACTTACAAACGAATGCTCCGAGATAATGTTCAACGTCTATTTCTGACGCTACAAGTTATTGTGGCGAACTTAATCTGCTGAGTGGTCTCCAATGCGCAACGTGAATTAGGATTGTATCAATATTGTGATGATTACAGTGTAGATGTTTGATGTCAATACACGTGTCAGAAAGTTACCCAATAACAACTTACCACGATCTGCTTCTGACAAGAATAAGGTGGGGCTGGCAATTCTAAGAAGATACTGTGTATATTAATCATTTTGCCTGGCTAAGACGTGTTGGCACTATGCATGAAAACATTAGATTTGCTATAAGTCGCTTTTCAAGCGGACAAAGCATACGAACGACAACCAGTCTTATGAAGCCATCTTTCGCGTATAAAGATCTATGTACTGATTGTGGTTTATCAATGAAATTACCACGGTACAAATATGCCATTAGTAAATTGGATACTATATGATGCAACGCAGTCTTGTTTGTATAAGGTCAAACGAAACGAGTATTTAAATTATATCACCTTTTGGCGGTAGATATCTCGCTTGAGCCGCACGCGCCATACCTGACACAGAGCAAAGGTTTAGCGTCACAATAAGTTTTTGATTTGCCTATTCATTCGGGCGTCAGGTTCAGGCCACATAGATTTCCAATAGTACAAACACGTCCAGCGGTGGCATCCCCTACACGTCTTCATGCCCATACAGCTGCTGAATTTCGATTTCAGACACGAAACCGGACACATACATTCAAAAATCATATTAAAAAGCGTTAAACGGTCATAACGGTCAATAAAGTAGACAAATCATTGTACTTGGGGCCTTATTATGAAACATTCGTTTGTTGCGCGAAGCATATAGATACGTATGAGAGCATATTCCTTTCATGGTAGGAGTCGTATAAAATTTTCAGCCATCATATCTTCTCGGCATTGTAGGCAAAACGTCTTACATACATCTAGTGCGCCTAAATGCAAACCATGCCCTATGAATGCGCACCTTTCGAGACCTTCAAAGGTTCCTGGAACAAAGCTCGTCAAGATCAGGCCGCAAATTGTTTCAAAAAGTAAGGATTTGCGTGACCTGCAAACAAGGTAACGTTATTTGGTTTGTTGTTTTGGCAACACTTCATAGATTAAGATAGATAGGTAGGCACAAGAGCCGAAGGTACCCGAGAAACGAGGCACGATTTATTTAGTTGTAGCAATAACAGCTATACCTCAATGGTCGCTTAGCTATCGCACGGAGGTACATAGGTAAATAGACTCACGCATCTCTATACGTTCCCAGACAGCACTGGCCAGGGTAGTGTAAAGCGGTGCGTTTGCCAAACTATCTCAATCAACATATCTCAACCGACCTTTATCCAGGTGGTAAGCGGCTAACAGAGTATTTTCCATTGTTGTAGGTACGTGCCATGCAGATCACGGCAGTACAACAATCGCTATTAGAAGAATCGGAGGCCTAAGATTGAAAATAGCTTTAACGCAAAGGCAGGTCTGCCTACATAATACGACTGTTCGATGCAAACATTCACTTCAGTCCATCCATAAAATCCGCAAGTAGCAAACTTTTAACAGATTATCTAGTTTTGTATTATCTCAGGTAAAGCGTTACGCGCCGCTTTCAGGAAGATCGTTACGTAATCGATCTGCCATCGTTTTACCATTGCTGAACACTATTCCCCAAACGAATATACACCAAGACGCGCTTGCTTAATAACATCGCGTTTTCCTTTGTTGCACGCGGACATAAATGAGCAGATTATACTAGATAAGTGCAGGAAGTTTAGAAATTTTTCATTAAATGGTTCAGTTAAGTGGTAAACCGTTTTTTCTACTTAACGGAGTGAATCGAAAAAGATCTTTCCCTAGTAATTGTGATATCACCCTGTATGCGTTCTTATATCTATCTGCAGGAACGAAAAGTGCCGGCGGCAGAAATGGCTTGACCATCCTCCGAAATTCTCGAAATAGATGTTGAAATTGTATCATACAATACGCGCCTAATGGCCAAAATATTCAGTTTACTAAAAAATTAGATAATTTTACTGAAATACGTCCAAGGAGCTCGGGGTGCACCACGTCGCTCCTAACACATATCAGCCATGACGATTACATCCGTCCATATAAAAAAAAACTAAAAGTCAGTCACGTTATGTTGTAGTAGACGAACTATTCGGCCAGAACGAGATCAGCAGATTTGCTTGGCAGCGGAAATTTACTCTGAAACCAGTCGCATCAAACACATCTCTGACAAAGTCAACTAAGAAGCAATTGGCAACGCAAGAGACTCTCTTGCTTAGTCTGCTGTCATTATTACATCTGATTTATTCCAGGCCTAATATCCTTAGCTATTCCACTCCCAAAACATAGTAGAAGAATGAGCAAGTTCATTCAGATAGTCAATTCTGCCTATCGTAGGTACAATGTAGGCCGGTAAGACCAAAAGACCACATACTGATCCACTAAATGCTACCTACTACGCGTTCGACAAGAACAAAAGTGCCAGTGGACCGGATTTCGGAACGCTGCCAAAAAGCTTGCCAACCTATTTCATTTAGCCGCTTCTTTATCTAGACCCCTAATGCTATCAAAATAACATAAAAGAATAGTGTTGCACTTACGGCACAAAATATTTTTAAGTGCTTTTTGAGCCATAGTTCCTTTGAAGCATTTGAAAAGATACACTGAGAGATAAGAAGATTAGTTCGATATGGAGATTACATATTTTTGCGAGAAATATTCAACACTACCAAATGTGCGCTCGCGGAAAAAACCGATTTTTCCACACAAATCTCTACTAAGAATAAATAATTGACAGAGATGCACAACATATTTTGAAAAAAAAAAAAATAAAAAATGGGAGATCAGTGAAAATGTCATGTCTTTTAAGTAATGATTTCATCTAATTCTTTGAAAAGGCGTTATTCCTGATGATTTCTATGTGAAGGCACCTTAACCTAGGTTAACTATATAAAATAGTTACACTGGAAGACGCTACATAATTAGTAGAATTTTTTCTAAACGTGAGAAATTTCATGCCTAGAACAGACGGACAACTAACCATAATTACATTGTTAATGTAAAAAATGTTCCTTTTCTTTTCCAGAATATTTCACAGAATCCCGGATGTATCAACGTGTGTCGAGCCATAACTGACGACAGAATCTCAAACTCGAAGTATTTATTTAGATGGCGTGGGCATAGTTACGTTATTCTCCTTGAATTTTAGTGTATTTATATATAATTGCTTCCCTGCAATGAGCCCAGAGAGACCACGTTAGGTAAAAGCGCCATTTTTTTCTATCAGTATGAAACAACAGTGTCTAATTGTGTAATAATCCTATACGCGTTATCTATTGTTCTCTCAAAAAGATAGGAGATACAGTCAGCTACTTTCTGCTGTATCTGGCAACTGTCTTCTGATGATATTCTATAGTACATTGTTATTATCAACGCTGCACATCGAGGTTGGAAGAAATAATTATTCTGCAAATATCGGACTTCTTCAGCTCGGCTTGGACCGGGGGATTTGTTCCCACCGAGACCACCTCGTACTAATTCGCAGTTTGACTGTTATGCTTTGCTTCGAACTAAGCAAATTTTCGTTTAATCATACCAAGTCTTACAGAAGCTAGCTTAGATTAACAAAAAGTTGTTGCTATAAAATAGATGACTCTATGTCATATTGGAAAGGCGTCGTGCAACTGAGTAAAGTTCTCCGAAATGGGTGCATCCTAATGGATGAGACCTTCCAAAGGTTCTGTGTTTTAACGACTACATAAGCTACATAAATTCGCCTGACGCCAAATAGTTAAGTGCAGCCCTAAGGCAGCAAAATGTTTAACTCTGCAGAGCTCCTTTCACTATAACGCTGTTCGCTCCTTCCTAGGCATAGTCTTTTTTGCATTCGCCGCCTGCAACAACCCGAAGCAATCCAGTACACGAGGCCTCTAAGGCTGAGGTATAGTGTGCCGAGTGCCTCGCCACCTCAGGGAAAGGCCAAATCGAGCTGCCAATGTAATGTTTTTTAAATACGGCGCATAATAAATGTGCGTAGCTCAATCTCAGCGAGGATATGGAACGGATAAATTTTCTCGCATTTACCTCTATGCATACCGCCTACATAAATGTTAACCAAATGGACTTATATCCCGTGCCACGAAATAGAGAAATTTTAAAACCTAATGAAAAAGGTACTTTCGTATGATACTCACGCACGACACCTGCCATTGCTTTTCGAGTACTACTTGAAATTTTCATTAGATACTTTACAGCCTTTATTGTATCATTTCATAAGACAGCTTAAGTGCTTGTACTAACGTGATTGTACCGCCTAAGCGTACAGGCCTACGTCCTCCTCCGAAACGGAATGACGTCCTGCTGGTCTACGTTGCAATCATGTGTCAGTCTCTAAACTGGTGTTACTGACATGGTTAGGGATGACTGGAGACAGTTTTGCTTCAGACGGTTGTCGCGGCAAGCGTGCGTTCACTATTTGAAAGAAAGCCAGTGCTTTCTATAGCAAAGTGTTCAACTCGTTATGACGCTGGCAGAAAGCTATGAACGAGGATTAACATCTACATGCCGGACGTAGCCCTATTGAGATTATACACTAGCATGGTGGGATATAAGAGCACAGTTGTTTCAAAAGCTTTGCGACACTCACATAGTTCTTAAGACTTCCTATCGCTGTACCTACACCGCGTCACCCGCTAGGTGCCCGGCGGCCGGCTAGAGAACATACTCGTTCTTTCAACAAGTGCAAATGTCCGAAAAAGAAACTATCAACACGCCAAACTGGGTCTGTCGACTTTAAGGTCCTATTGACATGTTCGTGTTACGACACAGTTCGCTAATAGAGCTTAGCCGTGTGTGAATTCGCTGAGCTGATCGGGCCGTTGATTCACGTAGCACACAATACCGAAATATTAAATGATAGCGTTGCTTATTGCTTCATCAATTTCGTTGAATGCCTTGTTATAGCCCCCGAGTAGTAGATACGGTAGGGGGGCATTACAGTATCAATTCTGTGGCCTATTTTTCGATACTAGATAGATATTTTCCGCGAACCAACGTACTATGCAATCAATTGAACTTCAGTTGAGATCGACAGCTTCTTTAAATCTTTAAACAGGATCTTTAAATCATCTGCATTTAAAAGATCAAATGTGATTTATTTATGTTTAGTACAAAAGCATAATAAAAAAAACTGCTTTGAGAGAGGTCACGTAACGGGAAACCCTGAACGCTTCCAACTTTTACACGACTTGATAGGCTAAAAGCAGGCGTAGAGTAATGGATGAGTAGCCAGGTTGAGCAGCTTCTCAGGCAGGATCTCGTGGCTTACCTTATCAAAGGCTCAACTTTTTTGACCAACATAATCGCAGTGATATGGTCTGCGACAGTTTTTGTACATGGCCCGGTCTTTTGCCGCTTCCAACAATTGCAAACGAAGTCATACTGGGCGGGACCTAATAGTTTATTTTTAGATAGAAAACACAACATACGTCGCATTGAGTTTTGCTTTAAAAATAGAATAGAAAATTGGGCTCTGCAAAACGGAGTGCCAGCTGTGTATATTTATCTTACAATATTTTCTGACACGGGTGTGACAATACTTAACGAGTAATGCCCGAGGCAACACTACCATCATTATCTCTGGCGAACATGGGACTTAGTAGTCTAACAAAAAAAAAAAATAACGAAATTCTTGTAAAACGATAGGCAGAATGTTGTCAGCTTTAAAAGTTGCCCTTGCTTCAGGTTAAGGCAGTAATCTAAACATGTGAAATTTAGAAATATCAGCCAATGTGTCAAGAATTGCAAGCGTTGGCCACTGGCGATGATGGTGACGACAACAGGGACGGGGCCGGCTCACGTCCCTCCAGTCGCAGTCTAGCCACTTCAGAACAAAGAACGAGGATATCAGAATTGGACAGAAACCTAAGTCTAAATATAGCATCTGGTCAATTTTGGAAGCGGAATGGCAAATAGAGGAGTCGCTGAAAATGTTACTTGGCCGATGTGAGCTGGTCTATCAAGAATAAACAGCAGTCAATAGCTTTTCGCACGTGTCATTTAGATCATCACAAATATTAAAAAAAAAAGGGCGTCCAGTAAAATAGGCAATAGATCCACAATGCACTCTATTGAAGCTGAGCTAGCCAGATAGAGATAAATAGTGGTTATTTTTTAGGGCAACATCGATTAGTCGTGCGTACGCGTTACTAGATGAAACTTTGGTAAAATAGTAACGCGGCTGAGAAAGCATATTGTGGATAGCTTTATGCAACGGAACTGAAAAGGTAGGATGTGAGCTTGCAAAGTAAACATATGCACAAAAAGTACTTACTTAAATTTGCTGGCTCGACTTCCGAGCAAGGTATTATGATACGAGATCTTATTAAATACTTAAGTTATTATGAACGAATAATAATGAAACTGCTACTTTTTTGTCCTCTTCGTTTATGTCTGTTCTGTACGAATCGGTCGTTCGTTTTTATATGTTTATAAGCCAATCTATGGGACACTC